CAACAACAATAATAATAATAATAATATATTACATAATAATAATAATAATAATAATAACAACAACAACAGTATGAGACAGCCGCTCCCAGAACCAACAAACACACAAACACAGCCGGGTCTTTATCACACCATATAAAACATTAATTAAAACCCTGTGATAATAACCATGAGGACGAGGGTGGGGGAGAAGGGAAGGAAGGAAGGAGGAGGGAGGAGGAGGAAAGGGTCAACTGAACACAAATTAGGTAACCGACTGGTGACTATTAGCATGTAATAACCCTTCCATTGTTGGTGGTATTATGACCGTGTAGATGTGAGAGAGAGAGTATGTCCTCGACTCTCTCAGGACAGAGTGGAGGAGGGAGGGAGGGAGAGGGAGGAGAGTGAGGGGAGGAGAGGGAGGGAAGGGAGAGGGAGGAAGAGAGGGAGCGAGGAAGGGATGATGATTTTGATGAGTCTCGGAGGAGTATAAAGAGGCTTGCCTATACTCGTGATCTGGTGCACCTGTGAGGGGTTTTAATAATGACAAGTGACAGAGGTAAATTAAAAGTTGGTGTGGCCGAGACCTGGAGACACACTTGGTCTCAGCCACCAAGAGAACATGAGTCGGCCACCAGAGAACAGCCTGATCTCTGCCACACCAAGAGACACACGCCCAGGTCTCGTCCACACCAAGAGACACACGCCCAGGTCTCGGCCACACAGACACACGCCCAGGTCTCGGCCACACCAAGAGACACGCCCAGGTCTCGGCCACACAAGAGACACACGCCCAGGTCTCGGCACACCAAGAGACACACGCCCAGGTCTCAGCCACACCAAGAGACCTGCCCAGGTCTCAGCCACACCAAAGACCGCCCAGGTCTCGGCCACACCAAGAGACACACATGGAGTCTCAGCCACACCAAGAGACACACGCCCAGGTCTCAGCCACACCAAGAGACACTGGGTCTCAGCCACACCAAAGACACCAGGTCTCGGCCACACCAACATAATTACCTCTCTCACTTGTCATTAATTAAAACCCTCACAGATGCACCAGATCACAGTATATGCCCGAGGAGGAGGAAGAGGAGGAGGAGGAGGAAGGAGGAGGAGGAGGAAGAGGAGGAGGAGGAGGAGGAGGAAGGAGGAGGAGGAGGAGGAGGAGGGAGGAAGGAGGAGGAGGAGGAGGAAGAGGAGGAGGAGGAAGAAGGAGAATAGGGAGACAAGCCTCTTTATCTCCTCCAGACTCAATCACCACCATCATCCTCCCTCTTGTATAGTGACCCTCCTCCTCCTCCTCCCTCCCCCCCTCCTCCTTCTCTTTTCCTTCTCTCTCTCCCTCCACCGCCCCTGAGAGAGTCGAAGACATACCTACCGTCAATCACACACACACACACACACACACACACACACACACACACACACACACACACACACACACACACTATGGCACTTCAATCAGCGACTTCTAGGAGGTGGCAGGACAACAGCTCTCATCTCCAGGTTTGTGTCCTGATCAACACCCTGGCTGGTGAAGGTGGAGAACGTAGCTAACTGGGTCATGTCCTCACGTCAACATTCTAACCAATAGGAGAAGCGAGAAAGGATGCAAACCAAACTCTTATACCCAAGCACTTCCTCACCTCTCTCCTCTGCCAATCCCTCCCCCCACCCTCCCCTGCTCATAATTGGAGACGCCAGATCAACAGTTAATTAGGTCACTTGAAGGACGACATAAAGAAGAGATAACAACGATGACCTTCTTGGCGAGGAAAGTAAACTACCCGCCTTTACAACCACAGCCAGAAGCTTTTATCCCCTCGAGCCCTCCCTCTCCACCCCCCTTCAAAAATATAAGGTACTTATATTCCCTACTGGATAACAAAGATCTAATTAATTAAGGTAAGAAACTCGGGTACAAAGTGAACGTTATGTTATAGTGTAGGGACATGAAGGGGGAGGAGAGGGAGAGGGGAGGGAGAGGGGGAGAGGGAGAGGGAGGAGGGGGAAGGAAAGGTGGGAAGGAAGGAGAAGGAAGGAGGGCAGGGAAGGGAGGGGAGGAAGGAGGAGAAGGAGGGGCAATTAGGAGCGTTCTGAAGGAGTAGACTTGACTTGTGAATCGTTTGAGACTGTAAGACATGAATGACTTCTACCAACGACGGTGTTAGAGAGAGAGAGAGAGAGAGAGAGAGAGAGAGAGAGAGAGAGAGAGAGAGAGAGAGAGAGAGAGGAGGACCCTGTAAATTCTTTTTATTGGCTCTCATGCTGATTTTGAAGACATCGAAGAAAGAAAAGAAAGAAAGAAAGAAAGAAAGAAAGAAAGAAAGAAATTCCCCACCATTACCTCAAATCTTCTCGTTCACCACTCCACCTCTTCCCATTTTTATCTTCTTCATTCAGTATTTCCTTCACTAACCTGTCTTCTTCCCCCATTTGCGATCTGTTTAACCTACACTGATTGGTCCGTCAAGTCAGGTCTTCCTCCTTCCTCGATCTGTTTAACCCTGTCTGATTGGCCGTCAAGTCAGGTCTCCACCTCGATCTGTTTACCCCACTCTGATTGGTCTGTCAAGTGAGATCCTCCCCCTCGATCTGTTTCACCCCTCTGATTGGTTCGTCGCCAGGTGACTAACAAGGACCACTAAAACCTCTGACCTGACCTACATTCGAGAAAATCAAACCAATCACCCAATCATAAAACCCTTTAAATTAACACTACGTAACTGTCTGTTGTATGTGTTGTAACGCAGCAGTGACGCCCGTGAGTGGAGGAGAGCCAGCCGTCACTCACACCCCAGGGAGACTTAACCTTCAGGTGTGACGAAACTTGCAGCGTTGTCTTGAGGGGGAGGGGAGGGAGGGGAGGGAGGAAGGGGGAGGAGGGAGGGGGAGGAGGAGGGAAGTAGAGAGTAGGGAGAGACATAGGAGGGGGAAGGTAAGAGATGAAGGGAGGAGAGATAGGAAGGGAGAAATGAGGAAGTGAGGGAGGTGAGGGAAGGAAAGAGGAGGAAGAAAGGGAAGAGTGAGAAAAAGTAAGAAGAAAGGAGAGGGAGAATAAGAAAGACAGACACAGACACACAGTGAGAGAGAGAGAGAGAGAGAGAGAGAGAGAGAGAGAGAGAGAGAGAGAGAGACAGAGAGAGAGAACGACTGACTAAGGAGCCCAACTCTTCTTCAAGCCGGCCATGTCGTCCTCGAGGGAAAAGCCTGAGTGGCACTTGGAAGTCACCTCGTCACTCCCTACAGCTACACGAGTTCTCCATAACACGCCATATTGAGTACCTAGTTGTTGTTGTTGTGTGTGTGTGTGTGTGTGTGTGTGTGTGTGTGTGTGTGTGTGTACGGTAATGATCCTCAACATGACTTGTGGCGTCATTATATCTGTGTTATGATGCTTGATCTCTCTCTCATCACCTCGGCTTCTAAGTGATTAAGCCTCGACACCTGGAGGGGCAGATGACACCTGCCTCGGCTTCAGGTGAGTGGCGGGACAGGTGAGACGAGAACTGTTGTTATTGTCTCACACACACACACACACACACACACACACACACACACACACACACACATACAATCATGCTTTTCTATCTTTCTCTCACATACCACTCACTGATACATCTACTCTCCACATGTTCAATACTTTACTTCCAGAATAAAGTTAGTTTGAAGGAGACAACTAGACAACTCTATCTTCCCAGGTACTCAAAAATGCTCAAATAGTACTCACAAGGCGCTCGATTACCACAACGAATAACGTGTTCAAATACCACGGCCCATGCCCTCCTCAAATGGTGCTCAGAACGTGCTCAATTGCCACTACTACCCAGGACGTGTTCAATACCACTACTCACACCGTGCTCAAAACGGTGGCCAAAACGTTTTCAAAGCAGTACCCACGAGGTGTTCAAATGCCACTGCCCTTAATGCACTCAAACGGTCATCATGAAGTGCACAAACTCGGCAGCACAACACACTCGGGCAGTGGCGGCGCTGGCATGAATGCTAATTACTGAGGCATTAGCGAGCCGGCAGGCAGCCACTTGAAGCACCGGGGGAGGAGGGGAAGGGGGTGATGGGGGTGATGGGGGTGAGGGTGGGAGGGGGTGATGGGGGTGAGGGTGGGAGGGGAGACACTATCTCCCTTCCCAGACACCGAAGCTTAAGGATTCTCTAAACATCGTAAGTTAAATCTCTTTCTCTTCCTGTTTGTGAATTTCTATATTCACACATAAGCTACGACACAAAGGTTGATTCTCAAGGGTTCGTAGGTTAAAATTTTTACCTTACGAAATAATATTAAAAAATAGCATTTAACTGAGTCCAATTTAATTACGAAACAAAGATCGATTCACAAGGGTTCGTAAGTTAAAGTTTTTCCTTAACTGGAGATGTGAAGAGACTTTAACTAGGGGAATGACGCAATGTTATGACAATGAACAGTAAACAATGCACTGACACCTGGAATGGGGGCGAGTTCAGAGTCCGTCCTTACTGTCTCGAAGCAAATATTACGATCCTCCTTATGTGATCTCAAACCCGGGTTCACAAAGGTTCGAACCATCACTAAACCTTGTAAGAAAAACGTACAACTTCTCCTCACTGGTTAACTTAAGCAACAACAATAACAAGATCTATAAAGGGTAATGTATAAGGAACAGGGGGGAACAAGCATATTCTAGTGACGGTAACAGAGGAACACAAACGGGAACAAACAACACCAATGTATTAAACACTTCCTAAACACCATACACAAGGAACAAACAACACCAATGTATTAAACACTTCCTAAACACCATACACAAGGCACCAATTTAACTAGCAGACTCACACAAAACACCTCTTGTAAACACTAAACACAAGCACCAACGCAACACGCAGGACTCCCTAAAACACCAAAGCCCAGACACCACAAGCAGAATCCCCCTAAAACACACAAAAAAAACACATACAACAAAGCAACAAACAGGAGGTAAAACCTTCTAAACACCAACATAACAACAACATAGTGAGAGTATTCAACACTCACTCCTCGCTTTGTCGTGGAAGCTCATGAGCAGCTCTGTAAAGTTCCTGTTGGTGCTCTTCATGAACTTCTGGGTGTAGGGTTTGGCGTCGAAGCTGTTGTAGATGGAGGCGAGGGTGAAGTGACACACAGAGTTGCCCTTCTCGTCGTCACGGTCCTCATAGATCAGCCCCAACACTTTCCAGTCCCAGTGTTTTACCACGGACGAGAACAGCTTCCCCACCTGGAAAACAAACACGGGGAGGTGACATATTAATACTATGATTTAACTGGAAAAATGAAAGTAAACTGATCATTTCCAGCAACATGGTCCAGTCTCAGTGCTGTGCTGCTGAAGAGAACACCTTCCTCACCTGGAAAATAAAAAATATGGAACTTCCTCCAGCTAGAAAAGGATTTTGAGTAGTTAATTCCGACGACATTTTCCACCCAGCACATCTCCCTCTGTAAGACTTCACTACAGGCCAGGACAACTTGCTCACCTGGATACTGGAAGGTAATTAGTTAACAAGAGAGCTTCTCCACTTAGGACGATCAGTGAACACCAGTCCTTCACCTGGAGTCACAGTCATGACTGGTTAACCTCAGGTATCTCAACATCTGGTAGAACAATTTCCACCCTCCACCTGCTGCAATATATACAGAAGCAGGTGTTCGGTTAACACCTGTACTACATCCCACTCCTCAAACAAACACAAGATTGGTCTACGTCAAGTCTTTAACCGTTTGGAAACACACAGGTGATTGGTCAACGACAGCGATACAGTACCCAGAACAGCCAGCAACCCATACGTGATTGGTCAAGAACAGTCCTCACACTTGGACACACACACACACACAGGTGACTGGTCAACACACCTGTACTGTGGTTTGTTTTTAACAGTGAAACAGGAGCCGCAGCTGTCACTGGTAATCAACATTTCTTACTTGGAATTATAATACTTTTATGTATATATGACAAGTCCTTCCTCACAGTGTGATGGTCAAATGACACCACAACTACAATACGGAAATTCCCGGATGAATTAAGTAAGACCAGACCAGCCCCGAGACCCACACGGCAAGACACTGCACTATTTTGTCGCCCCAGACACTAATGGTGCAGTGTAGCGGAACTTGTGAAATATGGTGATGACATGATGATGAAGGATGATCATGTAGATGGTTCATAATGATACCTGGTGATGGATAGATGATGAAGGAGGAGGAGATGGATGGAGGAGGAAGGAGGGAGGTAAGGGAGGGGTGAAGCTGAAAGTGACATTTAATAATGAAGTGACAATAAAGTGAAAAATCTGAGTCATTATCACACAATAACGGAACATAAACTAACCTACCCCTACCATAACCTACCCTATCCCTACCATAACCTACCCTACCCCTACCATAACCTACCCTATCCCTACCATAACCTAACCTACCCCTACCCTTACCATAACCAAACTCATCCAAACCACACAACATTAGCATAAAAATCCGGGTGTAGATCGAGTGTGATAAAAAAAAAGTTTGCTCGATGAATTTTTTTTTCGTTTGTTTTCGCCATTCTCTTTAAATCTTAATATTTGGTCAGTAATTTTAATAGTTTACTGTAGAATATAATTTTTATTTTACCATATCTGCATTGCTAATTAACGCCGATTTAAATACAGAGACAGTTTAAAAGAGCGTAATGCGGCGAGAGAGAACACACACACACACACACACACACACACACACACACACACACACACACCAACTCACCCTAGGCCTCCACAACATATCCTACACAGGACAGTAAGATACCTTGACCTGTACTGTACTGCTGGATAACTTAACTTTCCTCATAACACTGACCCCTGAGTACCACCACACCAATAACCACACACCACACCACACCATACCACACCACACCACACCACACCACACCACACCACACCACACCACACCACACCACACCATACCACACCACACCACACCACACCACACCACACCACACACCACACCACACCACACCATACCACACCACCACACCACACCACACCACACCACACCACACCACACCACACCACACCACACCAGCTAGGAGATAAACTTGACGTAGAGCGGTGAGTCATGACCCAGCCTCATCAATTTCATACTACAGTGTTATATAATTTATCGTCCGGCCTTCACGTCGTGTTTCACAGTTCATTGTTGCTTTCCTCTATCGTCTCTTGTACAGTAAATATATGAGAGTGAAGCACTATGTATGCTGCAGGTGGTGCATCATTCATGTAATTTATTAGTGGCCGTCAACATACTGTTTACACATTGATGTATGTATGTATGTATGTATGTATGTATGTATGTATGTATGTATGTATGTATGTATGTATGTATGTATGTATGTATGTATGTATGTATGCATGTATGTATGTATGTATGTATGTATGTATGTATGTATGTATGTATGTATGTATGTATGTATGTATGTACAGTATGTATGTATGTATGTATGTATGTATGTATGTATGTATGTATGTATGTATGATCTTGGCCGAGTTCCCTTTGTTGTACCATATAATGTATGTTCTATTACCCTGCCTCCACCACACCTGTCGTCTCTCATTAACCTGTGCTCATCATAAGTGTTTCTCTTTATTAAAATATAATGCTTACTGGCGTCTCTTAGTCTACATCAGAGTTTTATTACTTTTTATTCATAACATTTTCTCGGGTTTTTTAAGCTCCTGAGGAACTCATTTGACGAGCCGCATTTTCTAGCCGCCGGCCAGGAAATATTAACACGTGTATTAAACTGTACATATTTAACATTTACTGAAGGAATATATGAGACAAAAAAGAAACACTGTGTTGGGTGTGTTGGTAAAGGTCAAAGGTCGTTAGACGGTGATTAATGAACTACACGGAGGAGTAAGTGAAACAAGAGGGGCGGTGACCCTAGATTTATATGTCGGTGTAACGGGAAAAACCTCTTACAGCATCAATTAATTTTATAAACGGCTTAACTGTGTCCACCAGAGCTTAGTGTCTCCTGGCCTTAAAAACCGAGTGTGCCAGCTGGTGATTCTATCCTCCTGCAGGTGATGGTCGACCCCTGGCAGGCTGCTCCTCCACACACGGGTTCATGAGTCTCAGGGTTCATGGATGGGAACTAACAGGACCTTTCTCGGGAGCTATACCGCCTCAGGACAGGAAGTTAACCCAAGACCTTTAAGGCTGCGAGGCGACCGTCCTACCAACTTATTTCTTTTTTCTTTCTTTCATTCTTTCTTCTCTTTTTTTTCTTTATTGTTTCTTTTTTATTTAAGAAGATACATTAATTATCCAAAGTGTCGGCTGAACCTTGTACATCCTGCTACACACACACACACACACACACACACACACACACACACACACACACACATGACAGGAAGAGTGTCTAAGCTGCTTCATGAACTACAACTCTATTTATCTTGAGTCTTTCTTCACTGTCAATGTTCCTCAGTCAACTCGTGGTCCTTATGACGTTTTGACCCTCAGTAGGTCGTCTCTCAGGTATCGTTCACTCATTACAGTATTTATCACCTTCATTCCTTCACTAATTACGATGAATAAACATTAATTGTATATTACTTTCAGCACGAGGAAAAATTCACAAAAAAAAATCCCCCATAAAATTTCCCTTAAAAAATCCCCCCAATCCCCAAAATCCCTTAAGAATATATTTTGTTTCATTCCCTTAATAAAATCCCTTTAAAAAAATCAATAATAAATTCCCTTTAAAAGATTTCCTAAAAAAAATCCTCCCCCCCCCAAAACATCCCTAAAAAATTCCATTAAAAAACTCCCGTTAAAAATTACCTAAACAAATCCGTATACTGTCATCAACGTCCACTAACCTCGATAAAGAGACTCATCAACGTCCACTAACCTCGATAAAGAGACTCATCAACGTCCACTAACCTCGATAAAGACACTCATCAACGTCCACTAACCTCAGTAAAGAGAGACTCATCGCGATCCACTAACCTCGGTAAAGAGACTCATCAGCGATCCACTAACCTCAGTAAAAGGCTTCATCAGCACGATCCACTAACCTCAGTAAAGAGAGACTCATCAACGTCCACTAATCTGGTAAAGACACTCATCAACGTCCACTAACCTCGATAATGAGACTCATCAACGTCCACCTAACCTCGATAAAGACGCTCATCAACGTCCACTAACCTCGATAAAGACTCATCAACGTCCACTAACCTCAGTAAAGAGACTCATCAACGTCCACTAACCTCAGTAAAGACACTCATCAACGTCCACTAACCTCAGTAAAGATACTCATCAACGTCCACTAACCTCGATAAAGACACTCATCAACGTCCACTAACCTCGATAAAGAGACTCATCAACGTCCACTAACCTCGGTAAAGATACTCATCAACGTCCACTAACCTCGATAAAGACACTCATCAACGTCCACTAACCTCGATAAAGAGACTCATCAACGTCCACTAACCTCGATAAAGACACTCATCAACGTCCACTAACCTCGATAAAGAGACTCATCAACGTCCACTAACCTCGATAAAGACACTCATCAACGTCCACTAACCTCGGTAAAGAGACTCATCAACGTCCACTAACCTCGGTAAAGAGACTCATCAACGTCCACTAACCTCGGTAAAGAGACTCATCAACGTCCACTAACCTCGATAAAGACACACATCAACGTCCACTAACCTCGGTAAAGAGACTCATCAACGTCCACTAACCTCGGTAAAGAGACTCATCAACGTCCACTAACCTCGATAAAGACACACATCAACATCCACTAACCTCGGTAAAGAGACTCATCAACGTCCACTAACCTCGATAAAGAGAGACTCATCAACGTCCACTAACCTCGGTATAGACGCATCGTCCACTAACCTCGATAAAAGACACTCATCGCGTCCACTAACCTCAGTAAAAGAGACTCATCAGCGTCCACTAACCTCGATAAAGACACTCATCAACGTCCACTAACCTCGATAAAGACACTCATCAACGTCCACTAACCTCAGTAAAGAGACTCATCAACGTCCACTAATCTCGATAAAGACACTCATCAACGTCCACTAACCTCGATAAAGAGACTCATCAACGTCCACTAACCTCGATAAAGAGACTCATCAGCGTCCACTAATAATCTCGATAAAGACGCTCATCAGCGTCCACTAACCTCAGTAAAGAGAGACTCGTAGCGTCCACTAACCTCGA